TTTAGAAACCTTCCGGCGCCTACATTACAGAATCTGTTCATGTCTTGAAATATTGCAAATTATGCATACTTATCATGAAAATCAGTAGTAGAATCTTGCATTTCCCGGTTAGGTATAGTATAAAAAGAAAATTTTGTATTATCTTCAAGGCTCTGCGTGTGGTGGAGGGGAGGGGAGGGGGGGGGGGTTGAAACTAACACCCGCCTCCCTTCGCTGTGGCAGCGTATCATAATTAGTATTTTAGCTGAAATTAGCATTTGCAAGATTGCCGATCGGTTACTAAGGTAGTATTCTCCCAATCAAACTTCACAATTCTCGCACCGTGGAGCAACACTCCGTGTTTTCACTAAAGGGAGCGCACTCGGTATTCGCTTTAGTCAATCTATTTTTGTAGAGATTATTAAAAAAGGCAATTGGACTTAACGTCAGTTTCCTATATCAAGAAGAATGAACGACCATTGTCATCCCTGCATGGCCAACTGTGAAAAATGTGATCCATAACATTCAATATGACTCCCAATAATCTACAATGTTAACCCGTTGTCTGCATCTTGGGGTCAATTTGACCCCAGGCAATTTTTGCAATCTTGATTATTCATCAAAACGATTTTATCTCTGACATTTTTGCATGCTAAAGTCTTCTTGATATGCCTGCCTCTTAGTTGAGACATATTTTGTATTTTATTTAATAGGGGAAATGGGTGTAATTTCGGCCTAAATGCCCCTAATTTGGGCCCATACATAAATTCAGCAATCGACTAAATTTTCAATTGCGACCAAAAATATCCATTGGTACCGTCCCAATGACGCGTTCATCTAGATAAAATTTATAAATAGCTGATTTTTAGCGATGGGCCCAATCTTAGCTCGATAGGCCAACATTAGAGCCATTTCCCAAGGATTTTCGGAATGAACTTAGCTTAACTTTAGAGGTACAGACAAAGGGTTAAAAGCTCAAGTGATTTGTTGTGCCAAATGGCAGATTTTGGTTCAAGTTAAGTTCGTACCACATCCCAAAGAGTATTCGTAACATGTTCATTTGAGGCCAATTCATGGTTATCAATATCATTTCGTGTGATTTAATCTATATTTTGATAGCTCATGAGATGTGATGTCCCGCATGGCAGATCACAGTTGAAGTAAGGTTCTGGTTGCTTTCCCGGAACATTCTTGGTAGTACCATCGCACTTCAATTGGAATTGATTTTTGAGAGTAGAATTCGTGCTAAAATTAGTGTACTTTTGCATAAAAAGATTTCAATATGAATTTGATGCTCATGCTCACCACATTCACTGCCCTGAAGCGCTTGCTGAATAATCTTTTCCCAAATATCTTCTAACAGAACCGAATCTCCGCTTAACCATATTTAAAAACATTCGTAACGATTGTTGAACGCTTTTTAATGCACTTAAAAAAGACCATAACTTCATTTTCCATACAGCAACTCCCAGTCAATTTTGCTGCCTCCTCCCAGCACCTCCGCCCTTCACACTGCGCTGCGTGCTTCCGTGTTTATCGCCAAAAAACACATGAAAGCCATTAAAAATTCATAACTGAATTATTAAGCAAACCAGCCCACTCTCTTAGCGAGCAGAAGCACCCCGTATTCGAAGATCTCGGTAGCGGTCGTCGCCGGGCTAAAGCGAGTTCAAATTGTTACCCGAAAAAAAAACCCCAACCACTAAAAACACATTCGTTCTCTGGATGGAAGAAGAGCCCGGGCTAGAAATCACATAATTAGACGTTTATTAAAATGAAACGGTGTGGATTTAGCTTTGCACTCTCTGAATGTATCTGCTTTTTATTTCGAGAATGATTTTTTGTTTTGTTTCCCCCTTCCAAAGACCGCCACCACCCGGCAGCGATCGTCGAACTCTTCAACTGCTGCGATTGAAGCGTGTGCCTTCTGCTGACGATGTGATTATGGCGTGCAGTTAACTATTTCGTTCGGTTAATTTATGGGTTCAATGAGTTTTTTTTTGGGGCCGGGAATGAGATCTCCCTGCTCGGCGAGTTGTGGAATTATGTCAATCCGTCCTTAAGCTACTCTGGGACGAAAGCTGGGAGGTCTGGTAGAGGCAGCCAGATGACGGACGCACTGGCTTCTCAGTGCACACATAATTGATGAAATCAGTGCGTGGTGATTTCACCGGAACCGAGCCAAGAGGAAATTCGTCTTTCAACGGACCGCAAAGGAGCTCCAAGAAAATCGTAAAGAAAATGATGATGGATAGGGGCGGGGGGAGGGGATATTTTTTTCGCCGGTCACGATGATTTGCTAACGATCTCCCTCCGCACGGCTGGCGCACAACAACAGCAGTTCACCATCGCACGTAGTCCCGTAAGGCCTTCTTCGCCAGGTCCGGTTTGAGGGTGGAGCTGTCCGGGAGTGGGTCCAGTCCACAAGGAAAATGTAGCAAAAATTGATGTGGTTGATGTGATTTTGATCGGCTAGGAACGGACCCGTCATCGTGTGTATACAACGTGTTCATGACGGGCAGTGGGTAAAGATGGGCGAGGACGCAGCGGAAAAAAAGAGCTAAACGGTCTCGGCGGCCGAGGAAAGAGAAATCGGCCTAACAAGGCTTAAGAACCATAACCTCCTCATAGCACACAGTAGACCATGGGGCCATGGAAGAGATTGAGACTTGGGTCGAATCGGTTGAAACAGATTGAAACCGTTCGTTCGGGCAGTCCAAGTGACTACATTACTATAGGAGACGACGACGACGACGACGACGTCGAGTAAGAAAAAAGCGACTTGTCATCATTATGTAATTATTTGTAATTACTTTCGGTTTAATAACAATAATCACAAGCAAAATACACACATAAGCTGCTCTCAGGACCGTGTGCCCCCTGGAGGCCTAACGGAGTCTTTGAAGAGCGAACGGAACGTGCGGCGTGCGCGCGGTCTCTCGGTGAGTCGAACCCTTTCCTCCTCGATTTGACCGAGTGGGGGCTGAGATTAATAATTGATTTCTGCAAGGGCCGAGTCGAGCCGAAGCTTTGCTTCCTTCTCAGACAGCCACTGTGTTTGAATGCTGGTGAAGGTGCAAGTGCGGATGCAGGGCAGAGGGCAGCGGTAGCCAGTTAGCCTGGTCGATTTAACATGTATCGTAAAATTGCACTCGATGCTAGAGTTCGCGCTCTGTGAGTTGAGATTATGGGGGAGTAAATTGTGCAAACAAGCGAACGGGAGGCGAGAGAGAAAGTAGAACTCCAAAGGTGGTTACAGGTCAGGTTTTTGGGTTACGTAAGTAGGTAAAACGCTACAAAACACCCATAAGTTTAGTTCCGTTACCAAGCTTCAATCACTGTCAAGAAGTTGAGATTTTCAGCCCAAAACTAAACGATATTCCTAACGAATCTCAACGCATCCGCCGAAAATGATGACCAAAGCAGATGGAAAATTCTTCAACCGAACGATGATGCTCTCGATTATCATGAGCTCGTTAACTGCTCGTTAATAGATATAGGGAGGGCATTTTACGACCCTTCTCCGTATCGTCTAATCAGTTTGGACACCTGCCCAGCCCCCTTGCAGGCACAAACAGGCGCACACACACTACGGTTTCTGGCCAGATGACCAAAAACGCATAAAACCATCGCTCCGTTTCGGACGTCTCCCGCGAAGGCAGAACTCGTAAATCTTATCCGTCCAAACTTCCAAAAGCCATTGCTGTGTCTTTGGAAGATGATGATGACGATGATAAGCGTCAACTTCTTCGTACATAACAATCAAAGAACACATACCCACTATTGCCAATATGAATGCCGGGAAACGTCATAAACTGAGTTTTATCCACCACGCACAACATACGGTCCTAATCCAATTAATTTCCCCCCTGGAGTCCTACTTTTTTTTTATTCAATTTTAAGTACTTTCTCCCTGAGCGACCGACGCGGCTGGCCCTCGGTCCTTGTTGATTTACTGCGTGCTCTCGTTACTGGTTTCTCTAATTGATTTTTACTACCTTTAAAAAAAATATAGAGAGTGATCCGTCAGGGCAGACGGCGGTGGTGGTGGGACCGGCCCAGCGATACATATGGCTTCCCTAATCTTTTTTTCCCTGACCCTCCAAATACAGCGGACGAAAAAAAAGCAGCCGAAAGAAATCTTAATAATATGGCAACAAAAAGTTATAACTACAAACCACCGCCACGGTAACAAAACTTAAACGAGAAACTCGTAAAAACACAGGTCGACAGGCCGGGGCAGCGTTCAACAAGTGCTTTCATGCGGGAGTTTTCCGAAAGGTTGAATATTCAGGCCTAGGATGGGGAGATCCCAGCAGAAAGCGGTGAATAATGACCGCGTGTACGCATTGTAATGCGTGGAGATTATGATTTTTACTACCAACTAACGATGGGCCGTAAAAGTGCGTGCTTACACACTTGCTAATGCACCCACCAGCACTACCAAATCCCGGGTGGGGCGGGGGAGGGGAGATGCCGCTGAAGCTGGGGAAAGGACAGTTTTGTTTTTTTCCCCAGACTTAGGTTTGAGTGGGAAAAGGTCTGCTTAATTTTGAAAGTCGAAACAGATTTTAATCTGGGAACGTCGTCTTAGATCATGAATTTGTATAAGTTAGTTTTTATATGTGTAATGATCAGGAAAAAAAATTATACTATCAATGTTAAAACAAGAGTGAACAATTCGATACCTATTCGTGTTGAACATTTTATTTTCGTGATAAATTGCAATGCATGGGCCCATAGAAATAAAAGTGATAGTTCAATGTGGATGATTCTTCGGTTCAATGATTGGCCACTCGCAAGAGTCTCGGTGCGGCTGCTGCTGCTGCTGGACACGGGTTGACTAGGTGGCTGCGACGGGTTGGAAGGACGCAGTGAAGGATACCTCAATGACGATGAAATGTGGTTGACCTGAGAGATGCAAAGATGCTACAGGGAAAGCCTGGTATGCGATTCAATAAATAATACGGCAGTGGACATCGAACGAAACACTAGATGCTAACAACACCACCAAATGGGAGGAGCTTCGGTCAGCTACTGTATGAACGAAAGAAACACTTAAGGACATATCAGTTGAAGCCTCCTCTTTTTACGGTTTTATCGCTCGTCAATCGGACATGACAAAATAATCATCTTTCAAATCCTAGAAAATCATGCCCCACCCATTTTGGGTATTTTATCATACACTTCATCTGCTGTGCCTTCCTACACTTAATGCGTTGGATAGAAACAGCCGGTAGAATATCAGTGTCCACCCAGCTAAAGCTCCTCCCCTTTTTAGTTTTTTCTCCTTAAACTCCTTCTCTCAACATGTTGGTGAATCTTAGCCTTTAGCAGGAAGACGCTTAACACTTTTTTCGGCGAATTTATGATCCTGATTCACATCGTGGTTCTTCTCTATGCCTGTTCAGATAAATAAGTACTTTTATTTATTTTCTCCACGGCACTTAATCAAACGAGTAGAAATAAGAAGGGATGTCGGATACGCGCTCGAATAATTGAAAATTCGATTAATATTCAATCGAATAGCTGGAAAAATCTCTACGATGAATGTTAATGAATGTAAATCGAATAATTGAACTTTTAGGCATCCCTAGAAAATAGTGTAATTTCATGTTTTTGGTGGTCCTTCGAAAATGTCGAACAGTAGAATTGCAACCAGCAAGTGTAACCCAAGAACCAAAAGCGGTGCGATGCTAGTTTTCATTACTTTGACGACGACTGAATTAAGGGGCTTTGAAGCAGAGGGGTGAAAGTCAATTCTCTTCATCAGTTTCCTCTTTTGATGATCATGGCTTCACTAACCTATTTCGTACTATTTCTGCTATGCTCTTCTATCATCCAGAACAACGAACGTATCAATGAATGTGTTTGCCGTTGAGTTATTAACGACACAGAAAGTCGATGAACAGAATCGATCAAAATAACTTGCACCCCTGCTTCCAAGTTTGGTTACAATATTACAACTCTGGAGAGCATTTTTTGTGGTCGTTGGGGGCGTGTGGTTCTGAATATAGCGATTAGTGGGCAAAATGTTACGCAATTAAATCCTCACTATTTACACACGCCCGAAGATCGGAGGCGAATGCCACTTCGACTTGTTTCGTTTACTAACGACTCTCTGATGACTGTGTTGGGGAAGCCGCATATGCATGGACATAATTGGTGGATTTGTAAGTTATTTCGACGCTTTTGAACAATGCTTGACATTTACCACTTTTTCAATTGTTTCTTGTTAAAAATCAACAGTCGATGCGTGGAAATATTTCTGATCGATTGGTGATCAAATTATTGCAATTTGTCCAGGGGCAATTGAGTTATTAACGTGCAAAATCTTTCATAATTTTGTTACATGTCCCTATGTCAAAACAAAATCAAACCAGTATTGACACTGTTCGAAAATATCATGGCCATCATGTGAGAATGAGAAAACAGACCGCGGCATCTTTGGAATCGTAGAACTTGTGACAATATTTATACCGCGATTTTCAACCAATTACAGGGCATTACAAACGTGAATATTCGGAATATTCGCTTACTAATATTGATAAACACTTTGCGTTTTCACTTCGTCAGCCATGATACATGCTTACCAATTTTTATTACATGAATATGTTTTCAAAAATGAACCAAAAGTATCCACTTTTATATTTTCGAAAATAGCCAGTTTGGAATAAATTTAAAACATGAGTTCAAGATACTCATTTAATGGGCTCTTTCAAGTTATCGTGTGCGTCGCCGTGCCAAATCTCTTTCTTAGCACAAATCTACCACCCTACACAGTTTATTTTGCTGCACACAATTATTATCCAGTTTCCAATTATCAATCTCTGTTATCACTACACACATCACACACGAGCAATAGCCAGGAACTCACTCCCGCAACATATCCCATCCAAAAATCTCGTACATGATCGCAAGCAAGCCGGCGCCGAATGTGTAGTGGTAAGCGTGACTGCTTTATCACCCCAATGGGTGTGGATTCAATCCCAGCCGAGGTCGGTGGGATTTTTCTGAGGCACAAAAATCTCTGGTCACGAAGTAAAGCCGTTGGTTCCGGCCCATGTGTGTTGAATGAGTGCGATATCCTACGCAGGTGTGGAAGCTGCCTTCCTGCACATTCAATTTTTTAATTTTTTTTTTCACGTGTAAGCCATCATGGCTAAAGTTGGACTCCAAAATCCATAAAACATCAACATTTGACAATGTTTCCCAATACTTTTAGACAAATAAAAAACACCCGAAAAAATATATTTTCGGGCGGTAAATTTTTCATTAATAATTTCAGTATGTAACATTTAGTTACCGTCTGCGTGATAATGTTTGTATCATTATACACTGTAAAAACAAAACAAAATCTGAAAGTTTTCGGAGTGGAAATTTTTTTTAAAAGGGATATGTTTGTTTGAACTTAAATCTATGTTAATCATCGAAAGAATTGCCATTTGCCGCAATTTCGGCCTCTTGACGCTTCCGGAATGCTCAAAAGGTTCTGATATTCTCCAGGCACGGGTCCATGTTTGTCTGAGGCTTGCTGTACTGTAGTGGCGGTTGATTTTCAACCAGGATGGCAGATGTTCCTTCAGTGCGGTTCGAGGTCTGGTATGGTCCCCGTCTTGCTGAAAGACCACATTCGGCTCCGGTCCATATTGCTCAGTAATCCACGGAAGGACATACTTACTAAGAATTCCGATGTAAACCTCCGTATTCACTTATGATGGAGCAAACACTATCACGTATACGGCATCTTGATAACTTTACTCTATAGTTTTGTTATATTACAGACGCTAAAATTGGATAAACTTATGAGACATAGCAACCGTCAAACTATCAGCTATGAGCAACATGTTGTCCAGGCTCGAACAATTCTTTTCCATGGAGAAGTTTAACATGATATCTTTTAAAGGAAAGACTTGTCTAGTGAACGCGATTTACATCAACATGACCAGGATGAACCTAATAACTCTTCAAATTGGGCGGGTGCCGCAAATGCAACTCGGCATGCGTAATTTAGATTCACTGGTCGCCATTGTAGGTCGTTGCTTAATAAACACGTGCAGTTTAGGTAGGATGCAATTAAGATAGTCAGCTAAAGGTTTTGGACAACATGGGTGCTATAATAAGACATTGCTTTCGTAGGGGGCGACCCTGGCGTAGTGGTTAGCATCCATACCTCTCACGCCAAAGTCACGAGTTCAAATCTCATCCCCGGACAAGTCACGAATGACCCAAGAGCGTTAAAGTGACTATAATAAAAAAAAAGAAGAAAGAACATTGCTTTCGTGATGAACTTATAGGATGAGTTCGAAAAGTGCATATACCGAAATTCCATATAGTAAACATCCAAAACACCTTCTTCTTCTTCTTCTCCTTCTTCTTCTTCTTCTTCTTCTTCTTCTTCTTCTTCTTCTTCTTCTTCTTCTTCTTCTTCTTCGTCTTCTTCTTCTTCTTCTTCTTCTTCTTCTTCTTCTTCTTATTTGTATATCAAGTTTATTGCTTATAGCATATTAGCTTATTGCACCAAGGGCCTCCCTTAGCTCAGTCGGTAAAGGCGCAGCTACAAAGCAAGACCATGCTGGAGGTGGCTGGGTTCGATTCCCGGTTCGGTCTAGGAATTTTTCGGGTTGGAAAATTTCTCGATTTCCGTGGGCATAGAAGTATGATTGGACTTGCCACATAAAATCATATCAATGCAAAAATGGTACAGGCATCGAAAGCTCTCAATTAATAACTGTGGAAGTGCATCTAGAACACTAAGTTGAGAGCACGCAATAAGCTAATATGCGATATGCAATAAGCTTGAAATGCGAAGAAGAAGAAGAAGAAGTGCTCTCAACTTAATGTTTTTTATGCACTTCCACAGTTATTAATCGAGAGCTTTCGATGCCTGTACCAATTACAATTTTTGCATTAGTATAATTCTGTGCCAAGCACAATCATACTCTATGCCCCAGACATTTTCCAACCCGAATCCCCTTCGAACCGGATCGTACTGTACGGCAGCTGACCCGGTATCATCCTTCGTTAAATGATGTCAGCTGGGTTCTCCAAGCCAGCGACGTGATTCCAATCGAAACCCTTCGTAATGTGCTAAATCTCGGACACGCGATTCGCTACAAACATCTGCCACCTCGATGGCAGCGAAGATCCCAAGTAACCACCAAACCCGCTAATAGCCCGTTAATCGCCCTTTTTGCAATGGTTATTTTAATATAAGGTTATACGTCGTCCACACTTTATTTCAGCTATATATCAGCTGTATATTGCTAAAAGGGCAATTAGCGGGCTTGTTGGTTACTTGGGATATCCAATGCTTCATCATCATCATCATCATCATCAGTTGTGTATCCTATCCACCGAGGAATCGAAACTTGCTAATTCCACAATTCTTGGGGAAATATCTTGGCAATGACGACGACTGGACCCATCAATCCTAACGGGTCAAACAGGCGAGAACGACGCGTTTCGGAGATTGACATCGGGGAAATTGTCTGATTGCGGCTCCCACAGTTTTCACTGGTGAAGTTGAGGAGTGGAACGATCAACGAGAAGTTTGGATGGCAATTCGGCTAACAATTCCTTGCAGTTGGAGTTCTACTTTCGCTGGTTGAATCCATCTGATGAAGTTAGTTTGAACATTTGTTTTCCAGCTGCTTCGCTTCGTCGACGTTGTCCGTTCCAGTCAGCATGTCATCGACGTAAAAATCTTCTTTCAACACCTTAGCTGCGCGAGGATAAGCGAGAGCTCCTTCTTCTGCCAGCCGCTGTAAGCACTGCTGTCGCCAAGTATGGTGGAGATGCAGTCCCGTAAGTGATAGTTGCTAGCTCGTACGTTCGCTTTTTTTCCTCATCCGCAAAAATGACAATGCGGAATAAAAGGAATCGGAGAGTGATGGCAATCAAGTCCTCCTGAGCTTCAGGTCCAACCATTAGTGCATCATTGAGCGATAAACCGCTGCTTGTCTTGCACGACGCGCCGAAAACCACACGTAACTTCGTCGTTGTACTGTCCAGTTTGAAAACTGCATGGTAGTACACGTGAAACTGCTCTTCGACGTCCGGGACTTGCACCATGTAACCAAGTCGATCGTACTCGTGGATAAAATCTGTCTAAGCTGCTTTCAACTCGGGGTTCAACTGGAACTCCCTCTTCAAGCCCAAAAATCTCCTTGTCGCTATGTTTCTGGACTCGCCGAGCTGATTGATGATGAATTCACGCCTTGATAGCATGACGATAAATCTACCTACATCATCACGAGTGGTTGTTTGATATGTCGTCTCCCTCACCGATTGACTACTACTGGAACGACAGGTTTCTATCTCCCAGAACTTCGTCAACCGTTCTTGCAGGTTTGCAAGTGTGCGAAACCACCCATGCGAAGACCGTTCACTGCAGGGAAGGGCCTTCATCTCCAATCTTCTCACGGCTATCAGAGAGCATATTGAAGTTGTGTTCTACTCCGATTATCAGATCAATGCGACCTGGTTCGTGGAACTGGGGATCCGCGAAAGTTATTCGGGAGAGTCCAGTGGTTCACGTTGACTTTTCGTGCTAGCAACGATGATATTTCTTGAGAACGAGGTACAATAGCTGCTTTAACTACCTTCCGCGCTACAACGACTGAACCACCGATTCCTTGGACTGACTGAGGTGTTCAGGTGAAGCTCGAAGCTTCAGGTTACTGGAGACGTTCGTCGTTATGAAGCAGAATTGCGAGCACGAATCTAGTAACGCCCCAAGTTACATTGCAGATTTTATCGAGGTTTTATAGCATTCTACAAGTCTGAATCATGATCTACAGAACCCTCATAAAACCAAAATTGTTACTTGGGGCTCGAGCTAGTCGTGAGTTACCGTAGCTATCTTTAACACACACGATTGCAGTGGACAGTAGAATATCTTGTGAGGATAGTGTATTGGTTGGAAGTGCAATAGTGTTCTGGGTTGTGTATGGTTGATTTGTGGTGTGGACAGTGGTCCAGTGTTATGCGAGTGTATTTTTTTATTCCTTGATTTGTTTACCGTCGATCTTGTTTTCCGTGCTGAGCACCAATGCTACCGATGCCAGGGC